TCTCTCTGTGTTATGTGTACGGGAGGCTAGTTGCCGCAGTCGTACCTATGGTAAACTGTGCCTGACTACCCGTTGTAACAGTTTTCCTCGACAGGTTGATCTCGAACTGTGGAAGATTATACAAACTTATATACATAGCAGAGAAGGTCGTGACGCGTACATCTTGATTGTAGTGCGCTTTTAGCCGTTTTTTGGCCTTTGTTTTGTGCTTTCGCCGTTGCCCGTTGTACACTTATCCAAAACAAGAGTTCGGTGCGTCATCTCTACAAATGTTGGGGAACGTTGGCACATCAGCATTGTATTGCACCTTTTTCGACGCTTGTTCAACAACAGATGACTGTGGTGTACGGCATCAACCTGCCTGCAGACAGATCACATGCTGCAGAAATATCACATCCAATCCGTACATACGCCGTGCATTTGGACATGCGTACGTTACCTACAGCACAAACCGTCCTTCGCACGTATGGAAACGTGCCTGTATTGAATACCTACAGCCCAAACCGTCCTTCGCACGTATGGATACTTGTCTATATACCACGCCAGCGGTATGTCATCGTGGCAACTTGTGCAGCGGAATCGTGTTTCACCTCGAATCTCACCGCATATTTATCCATTCAGATCATCAAACACATCAATCCCCTCAAAAAAAAAAAACGAAACAACACTTATTCCGCGCACAACCCTCCGCGCATGTGCCCCAAAGCCTCATGTTATGGAACGTGGCCAGAGCATGGTCCGATCCTTACCCGGATAAAACACGTAATATTGATTACTTCTGTGTTGTGTACAACCACATTCATTTTGAAAAATCTTGAACACGGTTATATGCGTGTTGACCGGGACCAAACAGTCAGGGTGAAAACGATGAGCAAGTTGGACCGTCAATTGCGTTGTTTTCAGTCATACCACCCAACACATATAGATGTGTGTACCAACAAGCAGCTGTATGCATCCTCCTCAATATGATGTGCGGTGTTGTTGAGATTGGCGACAGCAACAGACGCATATGTAGTCTATTATCAGGTAGGTTGCATTTTTCGTTTAGCTCATGTGCTGAAACATGAGCCGAATTATAGTCCGATCGTAACCCGGACATTAATATACACGGCGACTACTACATGTAGATAATGTTTTCTTTTGCGGTGTCCTCTTAACCCTTTTGTGACGGGAGTTACTGTGGCTTTTCCGGGAGGCACAAAAAGCTGTTTACCACCAATAGTTCGAAATTTGGGAATAATAGAAAGGGGAAGAAGGACGAAAAAGTCTGACTGGCCGCACACATACGTTGCGAGCGCCCGCGGAGTTGCGCGCAGCCAGCACGAGCAAATAGGGCATGTGCCGTGGCCGGGGCCGGGGATAGAGTATCAGGTGCACCCCGAACGGTTTGAAGGGGGAAGGCCCACACCCACCATGGACTTAGGCTGCACGTCTTCGCAACGGACACATCGCAATCACCCACAAACAAGAGAAGAAGGCTGGTTCGTAGCTGCTGCATCAACACAGCACCCCGTGCACGATGGCTGTCTTCTCTCTCTCTCTCTCTCTCTCTCTCTCTCTCTCTCTCGGGTACCACGAATGCCTCACCCCGAGCGATGGGCAATCTAACAGTGTTCTACCCGTTTGATCAGTGCCCTTCCGTNAAAAAGTCTGACTGGCCGCACACATACGTTGCGAGCGCCCGCGGAGTTGCGCGCAGCCAGCACGAGCAAATAGGGCATGTGCCGTGGCCGGGGCCGGGGATAGAGTATCAGGTGCACCCCGAACGGTTTGAAGGGGGAAGGCCCACACCCACCATGGACTTAGGCTGCACGTCTTCGCAACGGACACATCGCAATCACCCACAAACAAGAGAAAGAGGCTGGTTCGTAGCTGCTGCATCAACACAGCACCCCGTGCACGATGGCTGTCTTCTCTCTCTCTCTCTCTCTCTCTCTCTCTCTCTCTCTCGGGTACCACGAATGCCTCACCCCGAGCGATGGGCAATCTAACAGTGTTCTACCCGTTTGATCAGTGCCCTTCCGTTGCCTTTCAGTAGGCAACACAACAACATTAGAAACACGCAGGATCGGATGCGATCCGACAAACGCGGCTGAACGCATGATGTTGCTGAGGACACAAAATGCACATCAACAGCACACACATCATGCAACGTCTAGCACTGCCGTCAGGTCATCAACAAGCCTTTGCCGCTATAATAGCGGCATATCTCTTGCAAGGGCTTACGCACAAGCNCGTTGCCTTTCAGTAGGCAACACAACAACATTAGAAACACGCAGGATCGGATGCGATCCGACAAACGCGGCTGAACGCATGATGTTGCTGAGGACACAAAATGCACATCAACAGCACACACATCATGCAACGTCTAGCACTGCCGTCAGGTCATCAACAAGCCTTTGCCGGTATAATAGCGGCATATCTCTTGCAAGGGCTTACGCACAAGCGCGCCGCGAAAGATTGCGCATGGCCCTTCTGCTAAGCACGCCAGAACAGGTGTCACCCAGTGCAAAAAAATCAGCATGGTTTTGTACAAAAGTCACGCGGGACTTGAAGAACCCGCTGTCCATACTAAATTTGACTTAGGGTTAGAGATAGATGGAGAGGGAGAGTGTACTGAAAAAGTCCCGAATGCCTTCAACGCCCATAGCGATGTCGATACCCCACGGAGCCCCTCTGGCGAGCGCTACACACGCAGTTCACGTTGACAATAATGGACGACATGGACGACGTAGCCGCGTTCTGGCAGCACCATCCTGAGGGTTTCTGTCCACAGGGCAACCCGCTCAACGTTTGGGAAAAATTACTGCTCATAGCAGCACAAACGCCTGAGCGTTTCCGCGAACCTTTACAAGCGGCCGCAGTCGCTGTTGGTGCCCGGTACTGCAACCACGATACTCCGCCGGGTCCGCTCCCTGATATCAGCAAACTGCCGGAGAGGCAGGCCGCCGCATAGCAACACGCTGGATTATGCGGAAAGTACCACGCGGAACACATCGCCAACATCGACGTCACCATGGTAGAAGAGAGAGGGCAGCAGGAGCTGAGATCACAACGAAAAGGAGGAGGAATTAGGTGTGTGTGTGTATTGGACTGCTGTGTTGTGGGGTATGCATTGCTGTGTATGTGTGCCAGGAAATGTGTACGAGGCCAGAGTGGTGGGAGTCGAAAATCTTCGGAATCCCGGTACCGAAAGACACGGCACCGACGTTAGAGTGGACGGAAGCCGCGAAAGTGGAGGGGGGAGTACCCTGGCATGCGGCGGTGCTGCAGGAGCTGAGAGGTTCATGACCTCCTGGCACGAAAAGGAACAAGAGGCCAGCCGACAACGGGCGCTCAAACGAAACCACAAGCCACCAACCAATGGGGCGGGAGGGGGGCAGGAAACGGACGAGACGGCGAGGGAAAAAGCAAACGAGAAGAGACGGACCGAGTGGCGCGATACGTGCCGGATTGAATTTCTTTTAGCCAATTGCCCCCACCCCAACGCTGCACCATTGCACCAACCCCCCACTAGTGATGACGTACCATTACAATGTATCGCTGGTTGGTGGCCATATTTGCGTGTTTGCTTGTCGCTAGTGGTCTCTCCACCATGTGCCTTTTTCTGTCTCTTATTTCTTGTTATTTTTGGCCTGGTCCCTTTTTGTCTTCGCTCTTTTTATTTCATTTCTCTTTCCTTACTGTTTCCTCTAATTTTCTTCTCTTTTTCTCTTGTCTCTTTTTCTCTCTTTTTCTGTACCAGATGGCTTTGTTTCTGCATGCGTTGTGAAGTACCAAGATTGAATCAAGGGGGCGTACCTTATTCTCTCCGGCCCGTGATGGTGACCCCTAGTCTCAGTTGTTACCTCGCATAGCGCGCAGAGGGAGTGGAGGACTCCAGAATATCTGGCGTTGATTTCTATTGACTTGCGGACCCCTCGGGGCCATTTTTTTTTATTAGGGCAAGTTAGCCTGCGACCACGGGAATCGACCGCGTCGAGTGTTGTATCAGTACGGACATACGAAGGTACTGGGTAGAGGGAGATCGGAACGGTTATTAATGTAACGACAACAACAACAACAACAATGCGTCCCGCTGCAGCAGGGAGCGGAAGCTGCTGAAACTTGGAAGGGGTCATGATTTGCGGTGCCCTACCGAGACATGCTTCGTGTGGTGCATGGTGCACCGTCTCTCGATATCAGTCATTGAGACTTCCTCGGTCTGGGGGTGGACTTGCGATACAAGTGAATGAAAAAAGAGTAAAACCTGATTGGCCAGGATAGACACCAGCTCTCAGTGCTACATGTGGTTTGAAGCGGTGCCTGTTGTGTGGTTGTCATGGGAAACTGGAACAAAGTGACAGACTGCGGGGAGAAACACACATGATTAATAGGTGCAAATCAAAAGATATGCGTTTCGGAGTGTAACTTTCGCAATACGATGCGCGGCACAACATACTATAGCGCACATTGACGACAGGGAAAAGGCGGTCAAGATGAACAAAAAAAATTAAACAAGGTTTCAAATTGCTTGAGTTATGGCGTGTCGTGTATGTACCTGACTGAGCAGAGATTCAAAATAGGGAAAAATGCCCAGCAACATCCGGCCAACATTGGTATCCCCATATCGGCCTGTAACTAACATTTTTAAACGCCTGTCGGCATACAGTAGCGCATAACGCTTCCATGACGGAGGCGGGCAATAACCAAGAAGATAAAGCATGAATGCAGTTGACGTGTGGCAAGCTGCATCCGGGGTGCAACTTGTCGACATTTGAATATATATATATATTTTTTCAAGAACAACTGCAGCAGCTGGAAGTAGGGACGCAACCCCCCGCGCACAGCAATCACATATGTGTGTTANAAATATTATTGATATTTTTTTTCAACAACTGCAGCAGCTGGAAGCAGGGACGCAACCCCCCGCGCACAGCAATCACACATGTGTGCTGTTGGAACATGGTACACCCAGTGCATGGGTGTAGCAATTGATCACAAGGCTGAAAAAAATCTCATCATGGTTCAACCTCGTCGCTGCCATCACCCCATTCTGCGCTTTCCCGCTGGATCGGCTCCCCTACCCCTTCCTCGACATCACCCACGGGCGACACATCATCGGTATCGTACCCGTCCGGCTTTATAAGGCTGCCTATCGTACCAGAAAGCACTCCATCACGGTCCTTGACCCACTTATTCATCTCTCCAATGGCGTGGTCAACCAGCTTCGAACAATTAGCTGCCTTCCACCCCCCCTCCTGGCCTGGCCATGCCTCGTCCCTATACCAACCTTTACGAATCTGCACCCACACCTCCCGCATCTTTCGCTTCAACTCAAAGTTAAGGCTGACGTACTGCTTCCCATGCTGCCAAAAAAGCTCGATCGGTTGAAAGGACGGCATGTAGGGCGGCGTCCAAATCAACGCCCACCCCTTTTTCCTCATGAACATCACCACCCGTTCCTCGAGCCTTTCAGGGTGATTGAGGTGGATGTATTCCCGAGTGGCCGTTGCTACCTCCGCTCTGCTTACGACGCTTGTAGCCGAGCCTACTTAGCAGCCCTCCTGCCGAACGGTTGGACGGCTGCTCCATGTTTGAAGTCCTGTGCAACCATTCTGCCACCGTGCGGCGAAAGACTTGACGACCGGCGTTGTGCTCGTCGTTGATGAACTCGCGAAGTTGATCTTCTTCTACTTTGGTGAGGCGGCGTCGCCCATCATCCTTCTTTGCCGCTTGCCTCTCCCCACGGCGGTGGTCTCGTACAACTGGCGGTGATCCCACCAGTGGTTGATGATGCGTCTGACCTTGTCGTGGCCGACCTTGAAAGTGCGCGCAACCTGCCAGCATAGAGAGGTCCAGAGAAGAGAAAATATTGCAACATCTGTTATGAATAAGGTCAGTTCACTTGGACATTGCACAGAGAGACATCGCACATGCAAGCCTGCTCATCTGCTGTAAAGTACTGCTGTAAAGTACTGCTGTACAGCAGTACAATGTATTCCTGCTGAATATTTGTGTGACGTAGACTGGTGAGTCAACCGTGTAACGAACGGCACAGGCTCGCGCCCGACATAAATGCGACGAAAACACACACACTACACATGAACAATACTACTGTTGGCAGCAAAAGTAGGGTGTACAGCACATACCGTATATGACACAAGATAACACACCCCCTGGACCAATTTTCAACGCTCGATTACTCCACGACCAAGAGGATGCATAAAGAAACGATATATTTTTGAAAAGCTCTCGAAAAGGCGGTTCCAACGCCGCCGTTTTCCGCGCCGTGACTCTGTTGTTGAGAAATCAAGATTTGAACATCGTTCCACGGGGTGTCTTATCTTGTGTCATATACGGTATTCCGGAGTATACATTCAAAACCAACCGTTATCTCTCTTTGATCAAGATGAATATATAAAAAAGACATAGGCCTGCTGCTGTGCCGCACCATCCGACCTACACTGCTGTGTACTGACCTGCAACACCGCCTCGTTCTCAGAGCAACCTTCCTTGCGGAGGTCGAATAGTAGCATGAGGACCATCCTTGACTGCAACTGGGTCCAGACCTCGCCCTTCTTCGGCTTCACTTCGTGCACAGATGTGTCCATGTAGTCCAGCCCCTGAGCAACCTTCTCCGCCGCGGCAGCTGCTGCTGCTTGGACGTGCTCAACCTCCTGCTACTCACGCTTTTCCCGCTGTGCAGCGGCGTGCGCCATTTATTGCTCCTTCTTGGCGAACGCAGCCTCCTTCGCTCTGAGCGCTTGCTCCCTCTGCGCCATCTCTGCTCTGTCCGCCGCGGGCGCTGCACGCTCGAGCTCAGCTTGGAGTCTCTCCTGGGCCAACGCACCTCTCGCTGCTGCTGTCTTGGCTCTCTTGTCCGACTTGGACGGGCGTCCAACTGCACCACCAGTTGGCTGTCTGCTGCCCTTCGGCTTCGCCATCGGCCGGTAGCTGAGAGGCCCCTCTTTGAGCGTGCAGTACTCGACAACGGCTGCGTTGTGTTCGATGCTGGTCTGATGTGCACGTCCGCGAAATCATAGGGTTTCCAAAAAGTTCTACATGCATGGCTAAGTCGCATCCACTCTGTTTTTTCAGGCCAACGCAAAAAAGCAGTGAAAAAGTACCCTATATTCGCGGCAACTACTGCTGTACCTTGTGGTTGTCTTATGAGAGCAAGACCCGGCTCATTTGAAAGCTGTGGTTTCCGTCTTTCATTTGATGTGTGGTAGGTCTGCTATCCGTGCTGTAGATTGCGTATAAACCCTCTGGGCAGTAGTGCTTGTTTCCAGCTGTCCAAGAATATTTTTTGACACTGCTTGAGAGAAAAACACACTGTTGCCACAAAAAGCGAAAATTTGCTCCCACTAGTTATGTGCCACCGTGTATTCGGGCTCTTGAGAGTCTGAACGGATCAAAGCTGCTACAAGATGATAGATAGATCCGTTTGATAGTAATCCGGGGTACATTCTCTTGATGTCATTGCCCACAAGCACAGGCAAAGGGGCCGTGGAGGATTTTGAACAGGAGCGTATACAAGTCATTTCATCAGTAGTAACGTTACACACAATCCAGGTGAACTAAACACCAGAGCCCGCAATCATTGCCAATACCGCGAATCTACGACCTCACCGGCAAACAAATCGATGGTTGTCGATCGGTGTTGCAGTACTTGTCTTGTGCTGTGTTGGGGGGAAAGACTGTTAAACCCTCTGTGGTTCGCCACGGTAGACGGACGTGGCTGGGTAAACGGGACAGAGTTGTGGCCAGGGTGGTGGTCCTGCGGGTTCTCTTGAAGTTAAGCCGGCAGGGCCTACACGACGTGGCATATGACGAAGATCCAGCAGCGCACCGAGAAATGCGGACACTAGGATATGGAGGCACTTTTTCTGTACCCCCAGCAAGCCTTTGGAACAACGGTTGTTGTTGTTGTTTCTCACATTAGCTCTGTTATCCACCAAAAACGGGGAGCCCCTGGTCTCAAAACCCGGCACATAAGACGCCGCGGGGAAACCAAATAAAAATGGCACGGACCACGCTGAAAAAAAAACATGATTGTTGTTGTTTTTCTTTACATTAAAGTCGTGTCAGTTGCTAATCCCAAAATCTAGCAAAGACTCTGGGTGGGTCCTACGTAATTTTTTGGATTCGAACATCGAACATCGAACAAGCGGCTAAATCATGTGATTGGCCAGGAAGGTCTAACAGCCCAAAGAGATGTTAGGGTTTTCGCGTATTTGTACGCCGGATCTTCCAGGGGCGACTCCGCCTAAAACTCTAACATATTTCCACCGAAACTCGAAAACCAATTCCGAACCTACAGTCCCGTGGACTATTGGTGGTACCGAATTGGCAACAACAAAGAAAACCCGCACGCATGCATCACGCACGTGCACCCAACACACACCACAAATAAACACAATCCTGGGGAGAGGGAGAACGACAGAGAGGTCTGCAGGACAGCAACAGCAATACCCATGTCTGCACAGAGCGACGACGAGTATGCGCTGGAACCCAGGGCCCCGCGTGCACAAGCGGGGCCAGGTGTGAGGTTGATCACACGGGGGTTCCTTCCCGCGCAACCACACAGCATTGCTAGACACCCAAANAAAGAAAACCCGCACGCATGCATCACGCACGTGCACCCAACACACACCACAAATAAACACAATCCTGGGGAGAGGGAGAACGACAGAGAGGTCTGCAGGACAGCAACAGCAATACCCATGTCTGCACAGAGCGACGACGAGTATGCGCTGGAACCCAGGGCCCCGCGTGCACAAGCGGGGCCAGGTGTGAGGTTGATCACACGGGGGTTCCTTCCCGCGCAACCACACAGCATTGCTAGACACCCAAACAGCAGCAGCAGCAGTGTTGGTGTGAGTCGGCAGGGTCCCGAAGCAATGCATGTGGGCATCAGGCCGCAAGGGATGCTGGGGTTCCACCCCGCGGCTTCGAGCGCTAGCTGCTATCACCCCGGTACTGTTTTTGCTGGTGGGGCTGCTTCTGGTGCTCCTCCTCCTGGCGCCGTCCCTGTTCCTCGATACTCGTATCTTTTCGAGTCGAGTGCCCATGGGTTTTCCGGGCGTGGTCCAATAACCCCGCGGGCTGTTGAAAGCAAAAACGTGTGTGTGTGGGATTTTTTCCACGCATTTTTGCAAATTTTAACGGACCCGAAAAGTCGGACATCGAACTATCCGCTTGTTCGATGCTCGATGTTCGACTTTTCCAAAAGGGAAATGGACAAAAGTGGGTATACCCACCCCTTTCTCGGACAAAAGTGGGTACTCGAAAATCCAGCTCGCGCGCAGTCCATGTGCGACCCCCACACGACTCAAAACCCCATTCTGGCACCAGGGCGACATAGCCAGGGACCATACACAGCACGGGCATCGATTTTTTTCCACTTCCAGGCACACCTTTGGCCCTAATACCGCCGCGGCGCGCAAGGCCTCAACAGAGTGCCCACTTCTGTCCGACATCGTGGTGGGTATACCCAGCGGCTTCTACTAATTTTTTCATGTACCCACTTGTGTCTATTTTTTGACCCACTTTTGTCCAAATTGTACCCACTTTTGTCCACTTACGGACAGCGGAAACCGAGCGGAAATCGACCTCCACGTCACCGCACGGCAGAACATCGAATAGCCTCGGAACGTCTCAGAACCTCCCAACACCGTTTCCATGGCATCTTTCGTATCCTGGCTGCCGACTGCGGACCGACCGCGGAGGAACATGTCAGAAACATGCCAGACCCCTTCGGTACAGGCACGGGAAAATATACGATACCCGGCACAGCTTGCCGGCGGTACCTTCCCGACGGGAAGATACTGCCGGCAAGCCCCGCCGCCGGCAAGCACGGCATAATGCGTGACACACAACGGACAACAAAACCAACGGGTCGCGCATACAGAACAAAAAGACGCGCATCCATACAGCAACACCACCACACACGCACACAACACACGACGAGTGCACACCGACTCGCGAGGGCAGCAGTAGCATGTCGAGGCAGTTTGCCCTGCAGGGCGCCGGCGCAGGGCCAAGCGCGGGCGCACCTCCGTCAACTGCTGGCGGCGCCATGAGATACGGTCAGATTTTTTCGTCATCTCGGGAGTTCAAACGGGCGATTGAGCGGTGCATGATCTCGACGTCTCGGCAGTGCCGCCTCGACAAGAGGGTTAGTGGCGGTCGGGGCAAGCTCCACCGCTGCACTGGAGCAGTGATCAACGGGAAGGCGACATCCGGCTGCCCGGTACTTGCCCGGGCGTGCAAGCTTCACGATGGCACCTGGAAGGTGACGGAGGTCGTCCTGGATCATGTGGCGTGCACAGGCCAGGCCGGGAACAAGAAGCAGCGCATCAACCGCCGCTGTGTGGAGGAGGAAGCGGCGGCGCTTGTGAGCTCCAACCGTAGCATCACCTGTCCGGCACTCGCGAAGACTCTAAAGGCTACCTCCGGCGTGGACATTAGCGAGAGGACCGCTGGCCGGATGCGCGCGGACATCCTTGGGAAGGGCAAGGACACGATCGCGAAGGAGTACCAATTACTCCAGAGCTATTGCGATCTTTTGGGAAGGGACAACGGCAACGTTGTCGAATGCAAAGTGAGTATAATGTGTCCTACGTTAGAGTTGGAAAGTCCGTACCGTCGAGATGCCATGGAGGTGCTCGTGAGAGTGGTTCTATACTGCTGTACTTCTTTTTCTTCCCTGGCATCCTACAACGAAGATGGAGTGCAGTAAGCTGCGCTGCTGATCTAGCAAGTTTGGTGAGGCAGATATAGCCGATGTAGACTACTGTTTATTNGCTCGGCGCGGCGGCGCGGCAGGCAACTGCCGGCGTTCAGCAGGTAAATTGCGAGCTAGCAAGTGCCTGTCCGCGGGTGGTTCTCGGTTTTGGTCTTAGCGATTGTTACAGGAAGACTTCGTGACTTTGTGCGACACTCTTACTTGACACGGAAAACATCGAAAACAAACGAAATATAAGTCCGGAGGTGCCCCCCCCCCCTGCTCGAAGAATTTGTAGAGGGGGGGTACGCGGGGGTTCCGTGTCATGCAGGCATGCGGTGTGACTGCACCTACTGCTGTGCAGCTACAGCAGATTTAGACAAAGCGAGAGATACGCACAGCTGTGTGACATACAAAGGCGTGCCCCAGCAGCATGAACTGTAACTGTGAATGTGCGTGGTTGTACGTTTGTTTGACGAAGATCATGTAAACAAGCAGTGTAGTTTGCATACAAGCGCCTTTGTCTTCAGCAGCAGCAGTAGTACAGTAGTGTAGTAGTCTCTGCTCTGCTTTCTTTGCATATGAGCAGCCGTTGGCACCCGTTGTACGAAACATGTAGGTCACAACAGTCTGTTGTGTGCTGGGTTTTACTGCAGTACGCGTTGCATGCTGGATGGCGTACTTTGCTTGAGTCCGCCACACGTGCCGGGAGGGGGGGGGGGGGGGGGGGGGGCTACTCATGTTGTGCACGCTGTAGTCGTTAGACCATTGACCTCGCATCCCT